ACAAAACTTCTTTAAAATTCAAGTGTCTATAGTAGAATACACTGATTAAATTATAGCTTTTAATTTGGACTGCCTCGTCAACTCAGTTTCAGTATTTTTCTTCTCAAAAATTTTTTTTACATATAATAAGTCTATGAGATTTATGTAAAAACACCAACTTGGCTAAGTATATAGTATGTAATACATTGTAGGCACTGAAAATATTAAAAATGTTTGTTTTTACCCCTAGTCTCATCTATTTATTTTTTCTCCTTTATTTTTATAGTATAGTATAGTATAGTATAGTATAGTATAGGATATTTTATTATTTATATTGTTCTTTTCAATATTATCACGTGGTGCTAAATTTTATTTGAAACACTGCTCCTGAAATAGCATGTGTAGAGATCTTAAGTACCACAGTATGTTCTGAGAAATGTACAGAGTCCAGTATGGAGAGAACATCTGTTGTATCTTTATTGGTAAGAGGAGACCAGAAGCTGGATCAGAAAAGACCCTATGAGAATGCAGTTGTCCAGTTAAACCAAACCTAGCAACTTATATTCTTTTTTTTTTTTTTTTTTTTAAATATATTTTATTGATTTTTCACAGAGAGGAAGAGAGAGGGATAGAGAGTTAGAAACATCGATGAGAGAGAATCATCGATCAGCTGCCTCTTGCACACCCCCTACTGGGGATGTGCCCGCAACCAAGGTATATGCCCTTGACCGGAATCAAACCCGGGACCTTTTAGTCCGCAGGCCGACGCTCTATCCACTGAGCCAAACCGGTCCCGGCGCAACTTATATTCTTTCTATCATACTTCCTTTTTAATTTTGTTTCATCCCTTATCAAAACTTAATTACTTAGGATGTAAGTCTACCTAGATGTATTTTAAAAGCTGGAAAACTTTAATATCGCTTTTTAACTTATTTGGACATTAATGTTTGTAAAATGAGTTATATAGAAGAGCTATGTTGTTATTAAGGTATTTTTAAATGGCCAGTTAATTTTCTTTTTCTTTTAAATATATATTTTTTATTGATTTTTTACAGAGAGGAAGAGAGAGGGATAGAGAGCTAGAAACATCGGTGAGAGAGAATCATCGACCAGCTGCCTCCTGCACACCTTCCACTGGGGATGTGCCCGCAACCAAGGTACATGCCCTTGACCGGAATTGAACCTGGGACCTTTCCGTCCGCAGGCCGACGCTCTGTCCACTGAGCCAAACCAGTTTTGGCTAGCCAGTTAATTTTCTTACTGTAACAGCTTTGAACCCTTAAGTATAATTCTGCAATATTTTGTTTCAGAAATTTTAAAAAATGTTTGTTTTTAATTTATCTAAGATGTTAAAATACATTAGTATGCTACATCAGTCAGTTTTGGAATGCAATATGAGTACATGATTTCCATTCAAATCTTGAAGTTGCTTAGGAGTTTCCTGTCCTTTTTTTTTTTTTTTTTTTTTTAGTGTTTTTGATTATTCTTTTAGTTTCATCAAGTCTTAAAACATATAGAGAACTGATCTTTTTATTTTTATTTATTTATTTATTTATTTATTGTATTGTTTTTAAAAATATATATATTTTATTGATTTTTTTACAGAGAGGAAGGGAGAGGGATAGAGAGTTAGAAACATCGATGAGAGAGAATCATCGATCAGCTGCATCTTGCACACATCCTACTGGGGATGTGCCCGCAACCAAGGTACATGCCCTTGACCGGAATTGAACCCGGGACCTTTCAGTCCACAGGCTGTTGCTCTAGTCACTGAGCCAAACCGGTTTCGGCCCTGATCTTTTTATTTTATTTGTCCTTTTTATTACTGATAACTGACTAGCCACTCCTCTATCACCTCCAATGACTTACCTTCCCATGAGATTGATGCTGGTAGCAGTCTATGGGACAGAGCCAAGTTGGAAATATGGCCGTACTGTGAATTGCAAATCAAGTTTAAAAGATCTTCAAGTTCATAATTTAATGAAAAGATTTCATTTGTAGGAGTCAAATGAAGTTTCTAATTTCAGTGATTAAATATAAGTTTGAACCTTCTTACTGGCTTTAGTAAATATATATGTAGTCTCTTGCTAAACTATAGCTAAAAACCTGTTTATATGCATTGGCTGGGTTTTGGGTAAGAAGCATTTATCAAATTATTGCTGTATCATTCAGCTTGAAAAATAAACTTATGTGCTGGACTTTTTTTTTTTTTTTAATTGCTTCAGTAAGGTACGATGGCATAGCAACATGAGAATGGGTTTTAGAGTTGGACATGTGAGATATTTGTCCCACCACTTTCAGTCTCTGATATTTGATGTTGAGCAGATCACTTTAATCTCTCTGAATGAGCCTCAGTAAAAGGAGTCAACTAGTCAGTCTTTTGAATAGTAGATCTGGATGAAATAAAGTAACATCAGGTGCTAAGTGTGGTACTTACTTGGAATGTTGTCAGCAAATGTTAGCCCCAGTACCACCCTCCTCTCCCAACAGTGCTCTACAGCAATATTATAGCAGTAAAGTGCTGTAATTCCAACTAGAAGATGTAGATTTTTGAGTCCAAGTTCTATTCTCTTATTGCATATATTCTTGGATCCAGTCACTTGACTATGTCACTGCTGGTGACATAGCTGCCACGCCCTGCTGTCCACTCTCAGGAGGGGCTGAAGGACTGGGGGACTCCAGCGGGGCTGAGAGGACTTGGTGCCTCCATCTTGTGGCTATGGGCACCACCATCTTTGTGGCGGTGTGAGAGTCAATTTGCATATCCCCTCTTTATTAGGATTATCTAATGTGCTGTGCCAGCACAGCCAAAGGTTCAGCGAGCCTGAGGAAAGGTGGTGAAGGATTGAAGAAAAAATGGGCAAGAGAATAGAGCTGGGTTTGGTGCCTGGCTAAGGCCACAGAGAAGGATCCAGAGGGTAAGCTGAGCCTTATTTTATAGCCAGAGGTAAACAAGGTAGTGGTCACCATAGTTACTGTGTTCTTGTGAGTTTTACTTGTTTTGGTAGCACTTGCTGCACCTCCCACAGCTCATTAGCTACCCTATAGGGTCTAGGGGGCATCATAAGGTCAAGCTTAATTATGCTAAAGAGGGTTGTGCCTTCCAAGCTGGGACTTGTTTGTGGCTTTGCCAATAGGTCAGTCTGAGGCTTAACTGCTCCCTATAACTGCTCCCTACAATCTAACATATTTATATGCTGCTGTATTTCCCACTGGTTAACATTATTCTTATTTGAAGCTGCACTTCAGGAACATTAACCTGATGGATGTGTGTAGGATGCATTGATTTGGAGGCACAGAATATAGGGGACAATGTGGATGTCCTTCCAGGAAGTTGTATACATAATACAGAGCCATTAAGTGGTTTAAAGCTGTAGTGGGAACTCAGGGCATTGTGGTAAAATGATAAGTTAAAAAGATGGCTGTGGCCTTTGTTTCTGTTCATTAGTTGCTTCTCACCTGCTCTTGTAGAATTCTTTTTTTTTTTTTTTTAAATATATTTTACTGATTTTTCACAGAGAGGAAGGGAGAGAGATAGAGAGCTAGAAACATCAATGAGAGAGAAACATCGACCAGCCTCTTGCACACCCCCTACTGGGGATGTGCCCGCAACCCAGGTACATGCCCTTGACCGGAATCGAACCCGGGACCTTTCAGTCCGCAGACCGACACTCTACCCCTGAGCCAAACTGGTTTCGGCTCTTGTAGAATTCTTACCCATGTGCAGTTCTGTCACCATTATCAGTTTTCTGAAGAGTGACCTACATTTTGTAACCTGATTTCTCACAATTTACAATAGTCCTAAATCTCGGGAACATGTAATTTTTCTGACAGTGAGGTTGAAAGGTTTTCATCACTTGAATCTACCCTTACAAACACCAAATTGGTTTCACTTTCTCTTGAGTACATACTTTTTAGCTCTAGCTGGGTCTTTGTATTCTTCTATTCCTGCTTATTAACCTTTACATGAGCTGTTCCACAAACCCAGGGCGTGACAGAATTTCTGTGTGCTTTCTCGTTTCTTGGAAGCCCTTTTATAGTTTGCTTTTATTAAAAATTTCTGGATCAGTCATCCTAAAGTAATTTTAATTGTTTTATAACTTGAATATGTGGGGGTTACTCATAATTTGTTAGTTTTATATAGCTTGAGTATTCTTTCTTTCTTGTAACTATAAAGTACCAAACTTGAAGCAAATGTAGTTTTAAAGTGTGATACAAACACTTCTTACTGTATCATTTTAATAAGGAAATGTTTTTATAGAAGAAATTTGGGTGGGGTGAGGAGGAATCTGCCAAGATAATAACAGAGCAGCAGTAAAGCTTGATAGTTAGCCACCTATTTATTCACTTATATGTATGCTCTTCAAAGAAGTTAACTTTGGAAACGGGAGGGAGCTCTCTTTAAGTTAATGACTTCCATGTAATTAAAGTGATTCAGTAATATTAACACTAGAAGGGGCATTGTTTGTAGGAACCCCTGCTGTGTCAGCGAATTCCTTTTATACAGGTGTATGGGTGATTTCCGGCTCTCATTCTACACAAAAGAGAATAGTTGGTTAATTAGAGGTAGACTTGGCAACTACCTGTCTTAGGTTATTTTTCATTTCCCTGAGAAGAAAATTGAAGAATCAATTGGGTCAGAATTTTGGGGGTTTTGGAAGACCTCAACGAAGCAAGAGCTGTTACTCTAACTGCTGGCATGTACTCATTCATATAGGGCTCACATGAAAAATTACAGTGTTACATAATCATAATGGCAGCTTTGTTTTTCTTAGTCATGGCAGCAATTAACACAGTGTACTAGTGGTTTAACATACCAACATTTAAGTCCTTATTTTTTGTTTTTGTTTTTAAGTCATTGAAATTATGAGACTATCATTCAAATGGAAGCATTGTAGTTCTTCGGAACCATTATGATCTCAAAAGGAAAAGAGAATGATTCAGATACACTGGCTGAGGTGTTTTGAGGTGCATCGAAGTGTCCCAAGCTGTGACTTACCTTAACATGTTCTTGAAGTACCATGGCGTGGATTAAAAGGTATGCTTTAGAAATCTCCCAGTGACCCCAAGGTTGTGGATAGAATGAACGTTCATGATTCTGTATTTAATTATCTTGTATTTTCAGATATTTCAATATTAGATTGCAGATGTGGTTATGGATTGATTTATGCCAGTAGTATTTTTGCTAGGAAAAAGCTATTTATCACAAGCTTGATGAGTTAATTTTTTTCTTTTTGATATGGTTAGAGAAAATAGTAGTGTAGATATTTCCCCGAATTTTAATAGTAATGAGTTGTAATTTCTTTAACCAAATAGTTTAGGAATTATTCATGTGTTAGTCTTTAATTATCTTTCTGGTGTGTGTCAAACTAGTTTCTCTGCTGTGCTATAATTTCATGGTAGGTAGTCTGAACAGGAAGTAGTTGGGGTATTAATTTTACTAAACAAAATAATTCTTACTTGGACCATTTATAGTTTGTGCTTGCTTTGTCTTACAAAGAATTTTTTACTTGGAGGAAAATGAATAATTATTAACAGTGGTATTGTATGTATACAGTTAATCATTCATGTGTTTGTGGTATGTAGTCCTACTGTTATTTGTGGTTGCTAGTAGTGGTAATTCCAGGTTTTGTATTACCCACTTAACCATCAAAAATCTTTTAGGTTTTTATGTTCATAACATTTTATTTGAGTGAGGTAGCCAAAACTATTTATTATTTAAAACCTTGGAAATCTCCTAGTTTTGTACTGTATGCTTGCTACTAAGTGATTTCTTAAGGATAGTAGAAGTGAATCAACCCAGGCAGAATGCTGAATTCATTGTTACATTGGGTTCAGAATTATTTATCTTTTAGGTAATGAAGGAAAATATGTTGGGAAGATAGAGGTTTAAATCATGAATAGATAAAATTGAATAAAATACACTGGTGCAGTCTGTAATCTTTATTAGTTAGAACTAGATTATCTTATGTTAAGGTCCTTTTGACATCTCAGCAGTTAAATTCTTAAAGGAATTTAGTTATCAAACCTAAGATAAAACTACTTTATATTAAATTCTAGTCCATAGTGAGTGATGGCAATCATTCATTTGAACCAGGTATTTTATGTCTGATGGCACACAATAGTATCTACTGTCCAAAAAGATCTCTTCTGATATAACTATGGTATTCGATACATTGTTCACAAAATATATGTCTCTGTAATATTTTCTAATTCAACTTCAAACATCTCTTTCTGGGTTAGTTTTTGATTATTTGATAGTTTGTTTTAACTCCACAAAGGATTCTTGATGCACAGCTAGAGTAGGGAGCTGCTATCTTTTTGGAAGAGTTTATAACTTAGTGGTGAAGAACTTAGGTTCGCTCTGGGGCCAACTGACCCCTTTCAGATGGAACATTTACTTTGTTATTTTTTTTTATTATCATTATTATGATTATTTTTTTAAGTCCTCACTCTTGGACATGTTTCTATTGATTTTCTCCCTCCCTCCCTCCCTCCCTCCCTTCCTTCCTTCCTTTTTTGAGAGAAAGAGAGAGAGAAAAACATTGATTGATTGCCAGCCGGGAATGGATCATGCCCTGACTGAAAATTTAACCTGCAACCTGCCGAAACTGGTTTGGCTCAGTGGTAGAGCGTCGGTCTGCGGACTGAAAGGTCCCGGGTTCGATTCCAGCCAAGGGCATGTACATTGGTTGTGGGCACCTCCCCGGTAGGGGGTGTGCAAGAGGCAGCTGGTCAATGTTTCTCTCTCATTTACGTTTCTAGCTCTCTTTCTCTCTCCCTTCCTCTCTGCAAAATATCAATAAAATATATTTAAAGAAAAAGAAAAAGAAAATTTAACCTACAACCTTTTTGGTGTATGGGACCATGCTGCAATCAACTGAGCCACCCAGCCAGGGGCTGCTATTACTATTTTTAAGCCTCATCTGAGGATATGTTTATTGATTATTAATATTTTTTAGAGAGAAAGGAAGGAAGAGAGAAACATCGATGTGAGAAAGTTCAGTCAGTTGCCTCCCTGTGGGCCCCAACCAGGCAACTAACCTGCAATTTAAGAATGTGCCCTGACCAAGAATCAAACCTGCAACTTTTGTAGTGTACAGGACGATGCTCCGATCAACTGACCCATACTTTGTTATTTTGACAGGTTGTAAGAATGATCTGAGCAAAAAAATATAAATTAATTTATACTTTAAAAATATTACAAGTACATAATTATATAATTTATATATTGAATTTTATGTATATAAATTACATACACAGGGTTGTGTATGTAGGAAGCCAGTTATTAACAGTGGTGATTATTAAATGCTAGAACAGGAACCTTACACTTTATTCTATGATCTTCCTAGAATTAAATAAACAATCACTATTCAACTGATGTTTTCAGTTCTTTGGGTGTTTTCTCATCAGTGAAAGAAGATGGTTGTTTTGTGCATCTTCTAAAGCTGTATTTTTCAAAACACAGGTTGTAGCCCATTCATTAGTGAGTCAAGAAATCGATTTAGTGGGTTATAACCAGCAGTAAGACATATCTATAATAATAGAAGCATAATATGCTAATTATACTGGACAGCTGAACGACCTTCTGGATGGCCTTCTGGACTAAGCTGCAGCAGCGGGGAGTGAGGCAGAGGCAGTTAGGGGCAATCAGGTAGGCAGGCAGGCATTAATCAAAGCTGTTTTATAAAATAGAGTGATACATATGTTTTAAGATTGTGTCTAAAATACAGTTTTCTTTCTCGATAGAAAACAGACTAAAGATTTCTGGTAAATTATTTCATAATAATGGAAATTCTACATTAGCTTTCTATGCTTGGGAGTTGAAAATAGAAGAAATTTTTGCCAGAATAAAAGGCTAAAGATAATAAGCATAATTCATTTTTCTCTGCAAGTTCTTGAAATCGAGTCAAATATACATAGTTTCTGCTCTGAATTGGGTATGACATACCAAACTTAGAAATCATGTTTTGAAGTTATAAGAGAGAAAGTAGTAACTCCCAACCAGTGAACTCACTACCATGCTGATGGGTGCTTGTCTTCAGGCATATATTGCTACTTTTGTTGGAAGCAGACAACAGGAGTCTAGGGATTCAGAGAAGGGGAGAGTTGCAGTCCTTTTTTCTATTACTTTGTTTCCCCAAATCCCCCCATCCCCACCCGACCTAGTCTACTCCAGAGTATCCAATTCTTCTTACTCATATCAGTAGCATTGCTTGGCTTTTCATCATCGTTTCAGCCCGGTTTCTTCCCGACTTCATAATTTTCTACCTCATACTGTTTGTCCTGCTGCGAGTGCTACCTCATACTGTTTCTCCTGCTGCGAGTGCTGGGTTTCCTGCTGTCACTTTGTGGCAGATGTTTCTTCAAAACTGGGTCCATATTCTTTGGTTATCACCATGCACAATGTACAATCTTCTTCTTTGTTGAAATTCCTGTGGAAAAATTAAGCTGTATAAGTATATATTAAACAAGGGTGACTTGGAGCAGGTAGGCTAAACTGGAGCCAATTTTCAAATCTCCCCACCTCCCTTCCCCTCAATTATACAAATTTTGTCTTGTTGACTCATGTAGACAAGTTCAGGGAGTTAACCCGGGACGAGCTGCCCCTACCCATCGCTCCCTTGGCTGCAGGTCACCTGGGGTCCCTTAAAAGTTTAGGAGATGCACACCTGAGAGGGAAGAGGAGGGGGGAGGGAAAGGTGCAGGTGTGCTACTGGGACTCCAAGAAGTCTTTTGTTTCAGTTCTCTTCGCTGGCCATTGTAATTTAGAGCATCGAGGGTTTTTTCTTAATAATTTTCCCCTTTTCTTTTAGATTTTTTGAAGAAAACATCCCTGTGGAATGTTTGTATGATTTTAATTATGGTTAAGTGGCCCTTTTATGTTCAGGGTATTGTCCCATGTTGCTTTGAAGGTTTATTCCTAGACCATCATGTCCCATGGAGGAGGGAAGTCCAAGCTAGGTGATGAGAGATATTTTAGTGTTATCAGCCACTGAGAGGATTTCCATTTCTTTGAAGAGTAACTTTTTCTGTAAAGGTATAACTGGCTAGTTCAATCTGTTGAGCAAACGTTAATATTAGCTGAGACTTGATTTATGGATCTATATAATTGAAGGAAGCAACAGGTATAGCAATAAAAAGAAAAGGCAAAGTATTAAGCCAGCTTGTAATAGTTATCTAAATAATGAGGTTATCCCTATTGGCAACCAACTAAAAGATTACTGGAAGCAGTTAGGCATCTAAAGAAGAGGTATTTTCTATGGAAACAAATAAAAAAGCTAATGGTTCACCTACATTATCAATGCTGTTTCTGCATCTGTAAGGCAGTCAGTCGAAATTTCTGGGTGGAAGGCATAAGGCTTCTAATGCTGGAGTGATGGCTGGCAGTGACCATCCTATTCTGCTTTGCACTTGGGATGTCTTGGGTGAGGTCATTAGGTGTGCCGGCTTACCTTCCACCGGTTACTGAGGTTGTTTAAGCATGAACTGTTACGGTGATTTCTCTGACATTTATATCAAGTTATCCAGCTGCGCTTTAATTTCATACCAGATGATTTTAGAAAAATGGAATGTTAGTTTGGAGGGTTGTAGCCAAATACTTGAGAAAATTAAAAGAATTCAGAATGTAGTCCAGTTTACAGGTGAAAAACAAAGCTTTAAAGGTTAGGTTGCCTCCCATTATATAATATGCTCAACTCTAATATCCATATATATGCATTATAGTTACTATTGAAATGCAGTTTCCCCTAAAATCATAATTTTTATCAAATATTGCTAAATTAAAACTATTGCATGAGTCTACTAAGTTTCAATAAATCTGACCTGATTATTTGTATAAATGTAACAAGAATAATAATTGATCATATAGGCTCTTTTAAATCTTCTCAAACATTACCATTCTATTCGCGTTGGTAATAAAGCCAGTTTTTAATTGTGTCCTCTTATAAAGATAACAAATACTTACTGAATTTTATAAATAATCATATTGCCATAAAAATAATAGTCATTAAGAGTTTTCTCTCGAGGAATCAAGTG